GAATGAGCTGCTATATGTTTCCGCGATGTGTTAGGAATGGAAAATCCATCGCACATCTGCGCGCGTTCCTCATTTTCAGTATATATATATATATATAGAGAGAGAGAGAGATATATATGTGTGTGTGTGTGGGGGGGGGGAGCATGTGTGTGTGTACGTTCATGTGTACGTGCGTGTGTGTGTCTGTGATTGTATGATAATGTGTATATGTGTGCGTGGGTGCCTGCGTGCTCTTTTATATTTCTATTTCTATCTGCCAGGTCTAATAAGTAAACACAATATTTAAATAACAAATGTGTTTTCGGCCATAAAATGAAATCGGATGTGATGCTCAGTCCAATCTGTCCATCCTGGCTTGTCACTAAGCACGTCCGCATTGGCCTTGAGCAAGCTGTCCAGCATGCTTTGCTGACTGCCAGTGAGGTCACTGCCTGAAACAGTTGGCAGACGGAGCGGAATTTTACAGAGTTTCCAGAGACCGCCACGAGTCCTAGTCAGCTAGAGGAAGAGCCAACCGACAACTACCTGCCAGAGAAATATCATATTAAGCCATGAAACATCGGTCTGGGTACGGTCCAGTCACTCTGGCATCACTTAAACCTACGGTAAACCTCTGTAAACGTAGATTAAATCAGTTGACAGGTGTATATTGTCGCTCTGTTTTATAAATACCCACAAGATAAGTACAGTATATTCAGATACCTTGCAGTTTCATGCTATTATAAGCAAAACTGTTAAAGTATTCTTACTTACTACGTCATGGTAATTCTTTATTGCTTTGAAAATCTCAAGATGATTGATTCTTACCTGGAAGAGTTGCGTCATGATCTTCAAGGGGGGAAGTACATCTGCCATCATGTGCAAGAAGGCCACGAAGTTGAATGTTCTAAGCTGGTGAGCCAAGCCACGAGCTGTTGGGCAGTTACGTTCCTCTGCCTCATACTCCAGGGTTGTTATGACGGCTGGGTAGCACTTGAGCATGGCGGTGACAGCCTGATGGTGTGAAAGCCACCGTACATCTTTGGCTTGCTGAATCTTCACCACTGGCATATTGAGTACTCTCTGGAACATAGAACACATTTTTGGTATCTTGAAAGACAGATGGCTTGCTATATGTAGCAGATTTATCATGCTTTATATTGTCAATGAGTATCTTTTTAAATGTACAGATAAATCATAGTGTTATTCATTTCATATGAATTTGTATAGCGGTACATGTATTTGGCCAAGGCACAAGTGTAATTACGTACAACATTGATGCATACCTGAATTTCCTTGAGGTTTTCAGTGCGAACAGCGCTGTAACTGAAGAAGCGGAAGATGTGGCCCAGAGATTCCTTTGCCTTCTTGACGGCAGGCACTGCATCTGATGCATGGGCGGCAGCCAAGGCTGTGCGGTGGTTTGCACAGTGGTAACTCAGCATCCATGGCACTGTCTCTTTGAGCCGAGCCTCCACACCAGCCTTGCGCCCACACATCACAGCTGCACCATCACTTGTAAATCCTGAAGCACATACATACATCAGACCTGAACAGCACTGAAGCCCATTTAGAAGACCTGAAGTCTTAGTGACACTTTGCACACATTGGTAACATTTATATTATCATTACCACTAGTAACTTAACACACAATCACCAGTAAACATATATTCATCATATTCATTATATTGCTATAAAATACCACTATCTTTATCGCATACGAGCAATATTAACTTTGCACATCATTAGAGATCACATTATACCTGAAAGTCTATGCTCCATGTCCAAGTCTGCTTCAGTTAACATTTGCACAACTTTAGCATGGACAGTCTGTGCCTTGCCATCACGCAACTCACGGATGCCGAGGAAGCTGGTCTTGATGACTGTGCCCTGCAACAGAAAGTCCCATTTTACTGGATAATAATTATATATTAATTATTTTACTATCTGGAAAAAACACCACCAGGTAACCTAGATGTTAAACTGAAGCCAGAAACCGCCACCACCTGCTTTGTAATGAAATCTGCAAACACAGCCTACCACCAATGACCCCAAGGATCATCCCAACACCAATGGCAATACAATGCTCTCTACAAGCACACCTATGACATATGACTTACCCAATGACAGTGTGTCACTGTGATATATCTGTAGGAAGTAAAAAAATAATACAAATTTCCCATCAAAAATATTCTTGTAGTCAATTACTTAAATTTGTTTTATATTTATTAACTGAACATCATTCACTTGCCATATGCCTAGAGCAAAGAATATTAATCTATAATTTGTAAATCTTGCTAATTATATTACTTGGTATACTATGCTACTAGTAAATTTATATGTTCACACTTCATATTGACTTTTATATCTGTAAACCAAATAAATACATCGCACATATCTATTTACCTTCATGTAACGAATGTATGAGACGACCTGACTCTTCACAGATACATCAGTTGTCTCGTCGGCCTGCACTCCAAACACTGGACTCTGGCGGGCATCGGCTAAGATGGAATCTCGAAGAGTTCCTGTATGTACAATGAATCATGAATGTATACACAAAACCAAGCTGTATGATCCACAAAGGTTATTTGGTGAGGTGTAAATAAACAAGCAGATGGCCGACGACAAGCAAACAAACTGAAGAAAATTGAGCAATTGCTAGATGTGTGACAAACGAAAGCCTATGCTTGAATGCAAAATGCTTAGTCATTGACAAATTAACCCACATCTCCAATGGATCTAAAGGTCATATACATGTATAAATCATGCTGCTGTCTTATTCCTAAAATAAATTAAAATATTTAATTCATTTATCCCTTATTTCATGTCTTATTTCTAAAATAAATTAAAATATTTAATTCGTTCATCACCTGCCAGTACAGCAAGTAGTTCTTGCATCACCCTCTCGCTGGTGTACTGTGCATTTGCTCCTTGGTGGATTGATGTTAAGTAGTCTGCCCCCAGGTCTGTGCACCAATCTACGAAGTCCAGAACGTTGCCAGAAGATACACTCTGGTGCTTTTTAGCAAGGGTGTACATGATCTTCATCAACCCTGAAAATAATAAACATTCATTTTAACATCAACAATTAATGAACGCTATTATATTTCAGAATACTTAAGAGAACTTTTCTTTCTTTTCATCCATCATGCACAAGTTTCCTTTCTTTTAGTATTGTATTTATCATGGTTGTAATGTGGATATCAGTGAACAACATTACAATATGTGTGTATTTATTGACTGTTGATGGCTGACCTTTCATTGCCTTTCTCTGTAATGTCTCCTGGACCTGCAGTGCCTTTTGCAGCTGGCCCCCAGCTTGGGCTGCATTGATGCGCCGGACTTCAGCTTCCACTGCTAATTTGTGGGCTTCGGTTCTTTCATGGGCCTTGATTTTGTCCAGGCGCACTGACATGCAGGGACGCTGGACCCAAGCCCCCTTCTTCCCAACCTTGTTGTGTCGCCGACACATCTTGCACCACATTTTCTTGACATTTTCAAGATTGTTCGGGGTGTCAACCACTAGCCATTTAAAACGCGTCATGTATGCAGCATCAAAGGCATTTAGATGGTGGTTGGTTGCTTTCTGCAATACACCAATCATGATTCTGGTAACACACATGCATGTATACTTGCTAATATTTTTGTGGTAAAAATTAAGGCAAATTTTACATAGAGGGGCAATTATATATTCAAATGTTAAGGCCTATTTACACGATGCGTTTTGGACGTACGTTCTAGACGTACGTCAGACGCATACGTCCAAAACGCACCGTGTAAACTATGCGGTACGACACAATTTTATGACCGTTGCGATATCGGATGCACACAGACCATTCTAATTTCATGCCGACATCGTAACCAGGAATCAGCAAGAACTGCGTGTGTGTGTGTGTGCGCGTGTGTGTGTGTGTGTGCGTGCGTGTGTGTGTGTGTGTTTCTGTGTGTGCACGCGCGCAGCGCAGTGCGGTGTGTGTGGTGTGAGCGCCGCGCCTAGGGTGGTGTGTTGTAAGTGATGTGCCGCCGCGCGCGTGTGGCGTGTGGTCGTGTGCGTGTGCGTATGCGTGTGCGTGGTGTGTGCTGTGTGTGTGTGTGTGTGTGCTGCGTGTGCGTGTGTGCGTGTGTGTTCGTGTGCGCCGCGTAGTGTGTGCGTGCGTGTGCGCGTGTGTGTGTGCGTGCCCGTGTGTGTGGTATGTGTGTGTGTGTTTTGGTGTGTGCACGCGCAGCGCGCGGTGTGTGTGTGTGTGAGTGTGTGTGTGTGTGCGAGCGCATCGGCGCCGGCATGCGTGTGTGTGCTGTGTGTTCAGTGTGCATGAACACAGCCAGACTGTAAAATGTCACACGCAACAACACACCACACACGCACGCCACAACACAACACACACGCACACACCACCATACACACACAACACACAGCACGCACAGCAACACCAGCCCACACGGCCGCGCGCGGACCTATCACACACCGGAGCTCAGATTAATCGTCCCTTGAACAAGCGAGTAACCGATATTGTGTAAACGGCCTCTGCGGCCGCGTATAGCACGATAGCCATGCGTATCACTATATAGTACGCCGATCGACTTCGCGGTACATCGAAAGCGCGGCCGCCGCGCCAAACGACCTTCAAGGCTCTGTTTATGAAGTACCCAGGCCGTATGATCGGCAGGCGGTATTCTTTGAATTTTATTTTTTTCTTGAACAGCCCTCTACAACAAGTGACTGCAGTCGCAACATTTTTTCACATCGAAATGTGAAGTTCGGGCGGGTGACGCCGAAACCAAAGAATTTTGGTCGACCGTATTTACTTCAGTCTGTTTGGGTGGTGGGGCTCGAGGCCCGGCACCGGCGGCAGTGCCACTGCCAGTGGCAGTGGGGGGCGTGTCCCTTATCTCCGAGTCCGAGTCTGAGTCCGCATCGCTGGGAGAAACCGGTGACGGCGGTTCATGCTCTCTGCTCCTACTTCGACAATCGCCTCGTCTGTCGCATTAGGTGCCGGATTTTCGACTTTTTGGAAGAAGTGGCATATAGATCGAGTCGGATTCATATTTCATTTGTTTCAGGGTTGTGTTCACGTTTCACGGTTGTGTTCACGGTTGTGCTCACGGGTGCTAGGGACGCTTTAACTGTTCAAAAGAGCTCTCTGCTGATTGGCTTAGCTGTGACGGTGACCAGCCAATCACAGCGAAGCACACAAGTGTGCTTATTGTTAACTGCTCGCAAAATGGCGCATCAACAAACGATCGATTCGCGGCGCTGTCAACCTTTTATTGTGGTGAATTTTCCAAACGGGGCGGAAGTATCAAGACGGGCAGCGGCAACGATCAAACGGGGGGGGGAGATTTTGCCAAACGAGCGGGCGCGCCACCGTTTGCGGCAACGTGGGAGAACCCTGCTCAAAAAATGATAGGAAAAAATCAACATATGAACCAGGTAGAAATTAACTTGAACCAAGGGAGTCCAATGGACTTCCTGCCTCAAAGAGGGAGTCCGCAGAAAAATGAGGGAGACCAACAGTCTGAAATTCAAAACTAAAGACTATTAACAATAACGCATTTGTATTTGAAGGTTCATGGCGGTTGCACATCTGGGACACTAATTTCTTAGATATTTGCTGGAGAAATACGGTAATTGCGTGGGCTGTGCCTGAACGAACTAGATAGTATCGAAGAGCGTATAAGAAATGAGAGCGTATAACGGTGAAATGCCAAAAAACCATGTTGTAGTTTCGTGAAATTAGTAAACTTTAGGACCGTTTTATAGCTCGTATATATAACCAACGCTTTGTTCCTACGCTCGTTGCCTACTTGTTCCTCACGGCTGAGATATAAGTGGTGAAAATCTAGTATTTTGCCGAAAATACGAACTAATTTCACTGCGATCTTATTAACACCATATTTTAGCAACATTATAGTACATTATGTTGGTACGTGTTTTGTCAGTAATTTAACCACTATAATATATCCTTCAACG